ATATGGGCGCCACGGTCACCGGACATGTCCCCGTGTGATTTCTTTTTATGGGGATATGTGAAGGGATTGGTCTATGTTTCCCACTTTTCCTGCTAGCATTGATGAACTCACGCAGAGAATCACTTCCTCACTGGATAATGTTACCGCTGACATGCTACAGCGTGTTTGGCAAGAGCTTAACTACCAACTTGACGTGTGCCGTGTCACATGCTGTGCACATATTGAACACTTATGAAATCGGTTCCATAATAAACTTATGATGTTCAACACCTAAAATGTTTAATTTCATTGAGCTAGACTTAGTATTTTTCAAGATAACTGCTTTTAAAATGAAGTCAATTTTTTGAGACACCCTGTATTATACCATGACTTCAGTTTTTTTTTTTAATTATACAAGGATTCTTCTCTCTAAAGAAAAAAAAATCAAGTTTCCCTCAGTTCTAATTTTATTCGGAAATGGTTTCATTATCTTTAATAAAAAAAAAAATACCTTCTTATTATATACTGTACCTTAAGCGGCCCACTGTTCGAACAAAAATGCCGATGCTTAATTTAGATTTTCTTACAATTGAAGAAAAGAAAAGGTTTATATCAGCAAACTTTAGACCAGTCATGGACAAACTGTGGCCCGCCGACCACACGTGGCCCGATTGGCTTTCTGAATAACCCACCTAATTTCATGATGAAAATAACGTTTATAAAAATGTCGTTTGTTTCTTTTACTTCTCACTTGTTCACTCACATACTCTCATGCATAACCATGTTCATAAATAATGATTAAGTACAATGTTTCTTGAATTTTGTAACATTTTGTTGAAAGTAACGTTGTCAGCATTTTAAACAATTGGCGATTTTCACTAAGGAAGATCATACATGTAAACATCTTTTGCTTGAGAAACAGGAAAATTCAATGATAATTATTCTTCTTTTACAAATATTTTGGTCTACTCAAAGGAATAAATTATAAACAAATCACATCCAGTAAAGTGTCTTTTTTTTTAATTATACAAGGATTCTTTTCCCTAAAGAAAAAAAAAATCAACTTGCCAAATTTCTAATTTTGTTCGGAAAATGGCTGCAGTATCTTTAATAATAGAATATCATAATTCTTTAGTAGCGCGTCTTGCTTTATGATATACTGTACTTTATGCGCCCCCCGCTGTTCGAACAAGGTTGCCCATGCCTGGTTTAGACTCTCTTACAGTTGAAGGACAACATTCAAACAGAAATCACAGCACTATGTGCTGAGATGGAAAATGTTTTAGGAGGGGCACGTTCGTTTGAAGCTGGAAATAGAAACTACTTAAAAGACGTAATTATTCATAAGTAGTGTCAACTTATTTTCCATTTCTATTCTATATAATAATACTATTGTACTGTGATTTAAAATTGAAAATTAAATGCAATATTAAATTTTGAAATCCCTTTGTGATTTCTGGACCACCTTATATAAACAACCCCGTTAGAGTAGAATACGACAGTCTCTCTTAGACAGCAGAGGAGTATGTAAGGACCACATATCAGCAAGGTCTTCCGTGGAGTCTTACTGTCCAAGAGTAATTGACGAAGTATTGGATTCAAAAGAGAAAAGAAGATTTAGAACCAACCCCATCAATTACATTTATGAGTATATAATTAAAAAAAAACACAGGCGTATTTGAAAATTTTGCAGTATTATACCGGAATAGGCTATGTATTCAATTTCCCATCAAGCCAAGGAAGCTAGGCGCCGAATTGACCTAAGATGACCTCAGACGGTGGTAGCGTTCTCACATTCACTCGTTGTAGTGACAGATCTCGATTGGTGAACATTTGTGCGCCCAACTGTTATTGATATGCACGCGGGAGAAAGAAAGAAAAACTGACAGATGGATATACACCCTTGTGCAAATTAATTGAAACAAAGCTAATAATTCCATTATTATTTACTTTTTTTTTCGTATTTTTCCAAATGAAACACGACCCAGTGCATACGTTAGTACTTCGTATGTCCTTCCACAAAGTCGTTCCTTGCAGATTGACCACAGATTCTCGGTTGGATTTAAATCAGGAGAGTTTCCGGGTCAGCCAATAGTACTTTGATTTGCTCACTGGTAAGGCTTGCCAGTGTGTTCATGCAGCGTTATAATTTTCATACGCTTTCTTGGAGTAATGCCCATCACAGACAATGGTCATAGGACAACTAATCGACAGTCGAAACAATAGTGTCTGGGCGGGATAAAAATCTGATGCAATCACGGATGACGCAATATCTTTCAAGGACAAACAAATTTCATCATACACCTCGAAAACAGATTCATATTACTGCATACCACTGCAAATAACCTAATCTGAGGAAAAATAGAAATCGATTACGCCATGTCACTGACCGTATAGCGAAATAAACGAAACTAAAGCTGTTGTTTCAATTAATTTGCACAAGGGTGTATAAACAGCCGCTCCAGAGAAGAAAGGACAGTCTCACACACATCGCAGGCAGAATGTAAGGTCCACATATCGGACCACCGGAATTATGGGCCGTGATAAAACAAACTTGCCGGTGGGAATTAACGAAGTTTAGATGAATGAAATGTAAAATTAAATATGAAAAAGTCAATGTCTTGTGTTATCATTTTTTCGGCACACCCGTTTCATTACGCTGTTTTATTTGTTTAGCGACATACCAACTTCTTATGGGTCATTTAATACTGAAATTTAATTTTCTTGAGAGCATTAATAATTTTCTTTACAAAAATGTATTGCTGGTAAGTTTGTTTTACTATGAAAATGCATTGCTGGTATTTTCACTATAAAAATGTATTTTTATAATTTCATCGTGTTTTTATCCCAGTTTGGGATTAACTATCTACCCATAGCTGAGACCCCAACAGGTACTACCACCACGGATCAGGTTGAACCTGGGAACAACAGCAATTAAGGGGTGGTTCCACGCTCCTCAAAACCTCGAAATCCCGATCAAAGGACTTGCTGCCGGATGTAGTTTATCGTCATATCCAGGACAATTCATTACGATCGGCATTTGAAAAATCTTTGAAAGAATTTATTGTATCTGACTGTAACGAAAAATCCTGTCCGTTTTTTCTATGACAAAACAAATGGTAGTCAATAGAGATGGTTAATATAGTAATCATTTGTTTTCAATGACGTTATCTCATCTGTCAACAAGCATTTTAATACCACCTGTGTATAATTATTTAGGTTTTGACTTGAAATAAGAGACTAATTCATTCTCAACCTCTTCTCTTGTAGTTAGTCTAAGTCAGGGGTTCCCAACCTCTTTTTGTATCATCGCCCACTTTCATATGGAAACATTTTTCACCGCCAAAATATTCGAAAGCATACGCAAATTGTTTGGTTCTATATTTCTGAGATGAGGTATTATGTACACTATTTACATTATGCGGACTATTTCTGAGATGAGGTATTATGTACACTATTTACATTATTCGGACTATTGTCCGAAATCTTTGTCGCCATATTTATCACCGTTGTACGTTCCGGCCTTCTTCAGGTGGTTGGAATGTCGAACTGAACCCTTTATTTCGCTCACTGCCGTGTCTAATGGATTTCATTTAATTAATTCCCCTCTCCAAGTTCTCTCTCCAGGTATTGAACTCACACTCTTTGGGTCCTGTCACTGGATTTAACTAACGCCTTTATCCACTGTGCTATGTGTCCTTGAGGACATCTGTGTATGAATTTCTGGATATTATGAACCTGTCTTTATCATCATTTTTTTTACCAGTACTCATATTGTAATTTTTGCTGTTACCATTGTATGTTTTTTACCAGAGGTCATATTGCAATTTTTTGTTATTATTGCTTTTCTCTGGCACTCCTTATTACTGGTTCCCATATTGTATTCATTTCTATGCTTGGTCGGCTCGGGAGATTTTTCTTGGAGATTTTTTTTATGTGCTGATTCCTTAAGTTTACGAATTTTCCAATGATGTTCTTTGTCTATGATCTCAACCTGATCCCACAGAGGGCGGTGATGTCCCTTTTCTCTCCATATGTGGTGTGAAAGTTCAATACCTGGTTATGGCGGTGGAGAACTTGGAGAGGAGATAACTGATAACTGACATCCATTAGACATGGCACGTGGAACAAGAACAGTCTACCCCAGTGAACGAAATAAAGGGTTCAGTTCGACATTCCAACCACATGAAGAAGGCCGGAGCGTACAACGGTCGAAACATTGTGATAAATAAAATAGACCAAACCCGGATATAAGAGAAACTCGGATATAAGAGACTTCTTCTAAGTCCCGACAACTCTCTTATATCCGGGTTACCCTGTAAGTGATTTAGTTTGATAGTCAAGGTTAATTTTATTGTTAGGGTCAGCCTTGCGAGTGTTGACAAAAAAAAAAAAAAAACGATTTTTTTCACTATCTATCTATATCTCTGAGATGAGGTATTATGATTACTTGCATTATTTACATCTTATTTATCATCTTCATAGTCATATTCACAACGTTTCGGCCGTTGTACGCTCCGGCCTTCTTCAGGTGATTGGATCTCTGAGATGAGATATTTTGATTACTTGTATTATTTACATTATTCGGACTATTATCCTTATCATCTTCATTACCATATTCACAACGTTTCGGTCGTTGTACGCTCAGGCCTTCTTCAGGTGGTTGTCTTCAAGGACACATGGTTCAGTGGATAAATACGTTGGTTAGATCCAGTGACTAGACACAAAGAGTCGTGAGTTCAATAATAATTCTTGATAAAATCCAAAGAAGAATCTGCAATGTTATTAGACCTGACCTGGCATCTCTGTCAAGGGAAAATAGAAATCGATTACACCCTGTCACGTCAGTGCGTCTAAAATGACCGTATGGTGAAAGAAAGGAAATTAAAGCGGCTGGGGATTAATTTGCACAAGGGTATGTAGGCACACACTCATATATATATATGCTAAAAATCTTTAAATTGTTCGCATCAATTTTATAGATAGATAGATAGATAGATAGATAGATAGAATTAATTTGGCTAGATAGATAGATAGATAGATAGATAGATAGATAGATAGATAGAATATATTTGGCTAGATAGATAGATAGATAGATAGATAGATAGATAGATAGATATAATTAATTTGGCTAGATAGATAGATAGATAGATAGAATTAATTTGGCTAGATAGATAGATAGATAGATAGATAGATAGATAGATATTGTGCAGAAGTGAACGCTATTGACTAAAAAAGTAAATATGCTAAGCAGGTGGATCAGACCACAATTTATTTAGAAGTTGCAAAATATCAATTGCTATGATGTTCGGAAAAAATGAATAGTGTATGTTTATTATTAATTTAGAGTTCTGATTTGAAGTTACATCTTTGTTTTATCGTGTTTATTTTGGACGTTAGAAATTCTTGAACTAGGTCTCATCATTTTACAGTTGAAATGGCTAGATGCAGCCGTAAGTTCTATATTAATATTTCCCTCTATCGCACTTCTAGCTTGTAGAACCGTCTTCCGGCTTCTAGATTCTCAAGTTAACTTGATCTTACAATTTAAATACAATGTCAATCGTTATCTACTATCTTCTTATTTAGATAAACATTCAAAATCGCTCGTCTTACACCGCAACGAATCAGTCAGTTTTGTGCCATGCGTCATACACGATTAGGCGATCATGTATCTTTCGATACATGATTGACGGGGAAGATTTCTTTTCCTCGCAGTAGGCTGCCATTTCTTTCTGCGGTAGACCAGTGGCCATCCCAAGGGTATTAAAACGTAAGTGAATGTAATGGATTCGACTGGAATTCGAACTCGGTTCTCCAATTCCTCAAACCTAATCGCTATGCATTACTCCTCCATATACCAGCCTTATTAAAGAGCATAATCCTTTAACCTTTAACCTCGCTATCTACTGTCTTCCGCTTTCCTCTTCCCGCTCATTATTAATTTTTCTGTTCTTAATTCTTCCACGCCATGTTCTTGTTCTTTTATTGTCCTTTCTCCTTAATAGCAGTTTTTTCTCATATTCTCTAACGTTCAGTAAACCCTAGTGGCTTTATTGCCTTACGTGGGGTGAAATATACCAGACTATCTTTAAATCCGTTAACGGTTATCGCCCATTCCATAATTGATTGGAGCTTGCTTCCTAAAATTGAAATAGTGTGAGACTTTTACATTTTGATTGCCTCATTATTTTATCTTCGCTGTCTATGTGCTATCCATTTTAGTTGTTACTGTTGTTGAAAGTCCACAAGGTTCTGTTATTTGGTGGACTTCTTTCATGGCGTCGTGCGTTATTATGGCGAAAGAAAGGAAACTAAAGTGGTTGTTTCAATTAATTTGCACAAGGGTGTAAGTCTTTCTCTAGCCTATTTTGTATGTTTAAATAACCGCCTTAGGCTTATGTTTCAATCGTCGCTTCACGGCTCATAAATAACCTCTTCACGCCCAAGCTTAAATAGTCGCTTCACCGCTCTGTTTAAACACCCATTTCACGCCAGTCTGAAAATCCGGGAAAAGGTAGTCTGATCTACGCACTACTTATACGGTGTAGAGATGTGACATAAAGTCGTTTTTAATGTGGGCTACCTATACGGATATGTATGGGACGAGGAAAAAATTGTTTCAGTCTCCGCGACCACTGTTACGCTGGCATGATTATTTACTTGAAAAATATTGCGTCATCCGTGACTGCATTAGATTTTTATCACGCCCAGACATCATTGTCTTCACTCTCGATTAGTTGTCCTACGGCCATTGTCTGCGATGGATGTTACTCCAAGGAAGCGTACGAAAATTGTTACGCTGTACAAACATACTGTCAGGCCTTACCAGTGAGCAAATGAAATGAATCCTATTAAAACACTTTCCTTGGTCTTATAATTCAATTGAAATACTTTCCTTCTTTTTAAAATACCATTGAAATACCTCCCTTAGTTTTTAAAATCCCATTAAAATACTTTCCTTACACCTAAAATCCCATTAAAATGTGCCAAAAAATCTTTAAATACTTGAGTTAATAATTCTACTTCTTAGCTTTTATTTGCTGCAAAATAATTGAATGGTTGAAGTTTATTATTTACTTTTGCTTCTGCGCTGTTATCTCCCTTGCGGACTAATCCTCTATTCATAAAGAATAAAGAGTTAGTTAGCAAGGGAGATAATTGGAAAGTTACAGTATGCAATTGTATTATTTCATGTTTTGCTTTCATTTGTAGTGTTGTTTTTTTTTGTGTAATATACGTCGTGATATTCTGAACGGACCGACTGAAAGTAGTCTATATCTAGGGTCCGAATTATCTAATGGGTAACAAAGAGTTTAGTCGATTCGTTTTTTACGGCTCACCAGATCTTTGCCAGTTATTTCAATCCAGAAAATATTTTTAGATTATAAGAATTTTTTTATTTTAGATGATAATGATTTAGTGATACTATTTAGTGATACTATTTAGTGATAGTATTAACGTAAGTGAATATAACAAACACAACAGGAATTGGAACGCGGATCTCCGATTAACAATTTCGAGCCACTATACATGACACCACTCGTACATCCAGGCTTACAGTACCTTGTATTCTCAAGCGAACAATGAATTTTAATCACTAACCAAACACCACATTTATTTTTAAAAATATATATATATTCACATAAATGTTAAGTCTATTTTACTCAGTTTCGTTGTTGCCTGTTAACGAAGTCGTGTTGTGGTTGACAGCCAGTGACCGATAAATTGTAGGATATTTCTTTTCGATTCTTTTATATGTTGCGCACGGAGGTAGTAGTAATCTCCACATTTATTTTACGCTACTATAGAGAAATAGCCACAAGCAATTCCAGCCAAAGATAGTCGTCATGATAGAACCTATCAATCTTCGTTGTCAGCGTCATACGATGTCTTCGTCATCTTCGATGTCGTCAGCGTCCTCCATAGAGTGATCATGTCTTTTTTCCACAAAAAGGAAGTAGGATCAACAGTCTAGTTCCTGTTTTTTTACGCCGCTACAGCTGTTAGACATTATATATATATATATATATATATATATATATATATATATATATATATATATATATATAGAGAGAGAGAGAGAGAGTTTTCTTTCTTTCTTCTAGTGTGAGTGTATTTTCGCCGCGAGCTTGTCTTTTTTTTGTGCGAACATGTCCTGGTATTTACTTTAAAAACTGAGTACAGTGTGTGTTTCAAAATTGAAGCGATATAAAACGATAAGAACCGGATAAAACAGTTAACAAATGTTGCATTTAAGCTAAATTTAGCTGCTTCTAATTTTAAAATGACGGTTTCTATTATAGACGGGAAAAGAGGTTTTTTTTTTCAGAAAACGTTACAATTTAGTACTGCGGATCCTATACGCACAAACAATTACGGTATATTTTAACACCTCTTTGCGATATTACAGATTGCATAAACCCTTGGTTTTGTAATGACAACTTAGAAGAAAATAAGCACAGGAAGAGCCAAACATCGCCTTACCATTGGTAGAATAACGTTACCATTGCAAGAATCACCTTATCATTGGAGGAATCATGTTACCATTGGAAGAATCGTGTTACCAATAGATGAATCGCGTTACCGTTGGAAGAATCATTTTACCATTAGAAGAATCGCGTTAGAATTGGGTACATCATGTTACCATTGGTAGAATCGCGTTACCATTGAAAGAATCATGTTACCATTGGCAGAATCATGTTATCATTGGAAGAATCGCGTTACCGTTAGAAAAATCACGTTACCATTGGATAAATCATGTTACCATTGGAAGAATCGCGTTATCATTTGGAAGAATTATGTTACCATTTTTAGAATCGTGTTACCGTTGCAAGAATCATGATACCATTAGAAGAATCATGTTACCATTGGAAGAATCGCGTACCTTTAGAAGAATCATGTTATCATTCGAATAATCGCTTTACTATTGGAAGAATCTTTTATTCATAAATTTATAGACATTTGCTAAATTATTAAAATATGTGAACCAACTATAAGGAAATCCTTATTATTTACCATTTTATAAAGTTCGAATCGATTTACATTTAGCCTAAGTTTTGTCAACCATTCCAATATACAACATAATAAATAAATAGTGTAAATAAACAATTTAATAAATAAATAGTGTTTATTATTTTTGTTTTCAATTCTCAAGAACAAAGAAAATATGTAAATTCATTCTCATATGTTTAGTTTTTATTAAAAGTCTAATTATCGCTTTTTAAAACACTAAACATTGCTGAGGAGTGAAGGTAGTTAAAATGGTAGTGGTGTCAATGAAAAACCCGCCCTTTTGAGCCTCCGTTTTATATGCGGGTCCAGGTTTTTAATAGTACTGCAATTTGGGGGTCATTCTATATGATCTCTAAACTAAAATAAATCAAAATTATAATCTGATGAATTGATTAACATTTGGAAAAAATTATTATATATAATACATAAGAAATTAATATATATATATATATATATATATATATATATATATATATATATATATGTATGTGTGTGTATGTGTGTGTGTGTAAAACGTTCAAATATTTTCTACCTAGGCCGTGTCGCTACTGTGTGGTATGCATATAACTACTTTCATGGTTTTACTATCATCTCCAAACTAAATCCCCACAAGTCATGTGGATTTGATTGCATCTCTACAATGGTCCTCAAGAAATGTACTCCCGAACTGACTCCTGTTCTCTCTAAACTCTACAACATATACTTTGCTGCTTCTTGCTTTCCTCTTCATTAGTTTTTGTTTTTTAAAGAACTCGTGCGAACTGTCTGATCCTTCGAACTATCAGCCTATTAGTTTTCTATCTCTTTTTGGTAAAGTACTACAGATGGAGTAGTGGATAGCAGCTCGGATTGAGGAATCGGAGAGCCGAGTTCGAATTCCAGTCGAATACATTACATTCACTTACGTGCTAATATCCTTGGGAAAGGTATGAATCCTTTTCTTCTCTTCTCAGCTGTTGGATGACAACTGGTCTACCGTAGAAAGAAATGACAACTTACTACGGGAAAAAATCTGCCTCGTCAGTCATGTATCGAAAGATACATGATCGCCTAAGCATGCATCACGCACGGCTAGAGGCTCTAATAGTGCGATGTTTAATCAATTCTGATTTGATTAAGCATCTCACTTCGTGCAACCTTATGTCAGACAAACAATATGTCTTCGCTTCTCTAGATCAATTGCTGATGTTTTGCTACTGAAGAAGTATGTCAAGTCTTAGATGAGAACGACGAAACTCGAGCTGTGGTTTTAGATATCTCGAAGGCGTTTGACAGGCTTTGTCATACTGGCCTTCTTCGCAAGTTGAAAGGTTATGGTGTCTTCGGCAGAATTTTTTATTTGATCCAATCAAGAATCGCGTAATGATAATCGCCTTGAACGACCTCTTTTCTAGATCTTTTCACATTAATACCGGTGCCTCCCTTAGACCTTCTTTGTTTTTTTTATCTACATCAACGATCTTTATGGTTGGTTGTATCTGTACATGCGTTGACTTGGAACTAATTGGTGTGTTAGAGGGAAAAGATTCATGTTACACCGTCCGCAGTTATCTTGATGTTACATTTTTTAAGTATTAGTTTTATGAAGGTTCGTGACATGCCTAGCATGTATTTATCATATAAAATATCTCTACCTTTGTTTTCATAATGCTGCTGTTGTGACATTGTGGTTAAGATGCCTACATAGGAGAAGATAGTATGTAATTTTATCTCGGTCTTAAGTTGCTCGTGTTTTATGGCCTGCGGATAGTCTTAGAAGCTGGGTCGACCGAGCGGCACCCACTTAACCGAAGGAGAACAAACAAACAAATAAATAAAAACTTTTGAGGTCAAATGACAAAAAACTAGACATTGATGACTTGCTGGTCTGTATTAGAAGTCGCAGTTGAAATTGAAGTGGTCAGTTCTGGCCCACCCTTGGTGGGGAATAGACTGTTCCTAGGATGGTTCCGATGTCGCCAGTTCGTGTTACCAGCCACGCATCGGGATTTTGAGATGGACAGAGAGTTGGTAGGAGGAAGAGTCTAAAAGAAAAGCTGATCTGTTAGTCAAACATATCTACTCACCTAGACCGAGCAAGTGAAGCCCTGAAATAAGTAGAGCTGAATAGTATGGATAATCATATGATATACTTAATAATATTTATAATAGACTAGGCAGTGGATAGATGTGTACATGAAATAAGTATTAGTATAAAACTCTTTGAAAAAGAAAAAGGTATTGATAGACGATAATAAATTATATAGATTTTGCAAGGGAATAAAAACAATATTGTGGGAGATATGGGGCCACAGTTCTCAATTCCCGCCGATTTCCTGAGAAATATGGGGCCACAGTTCTCAATTCCCGCCGATTTTCCGAGGAATATGGGGCCACAGTTCTCAATTCCCGCCGATTTTCCGAGGAATATGGAACCACAGTTCTCAATTCCCGCCGATTTTCCGAGGAATATGGTGCCACAGTTCTCAATTCCCGCCGATTTCCTGAGAAATATGGGGCCACAGTTCTCAATTCCCGCCGATTTTCCGAGGAATATGGGGCCACAGTTCTCAATTCCCGCCGATTTTCCGAGGAATATGGGGCCACAGTTCTCAATTCCCGCAGATTTTCCGAGGAATATGGGACCACAGTTCTCAATTCCCGCAGATTTTCCGAGGAATATGGGGCCACAGTTCTCAATTCCCGCCGATTTTCCGAGGAATATAGGGGCCACAGTTCTCAATTTCCGGCGAATTTCCGAGGAATATGGGGCCACAGTTCTCAATTACCGCCGATTTTCCGAGGAATATGGGGCCACAGTTTTCAGTACGTTTGTAGTAGGGTTTACATGATGGAGTATCTAACCCCATGCCCAACCGGTTTTAGATTCAGAGTCATCCTTCACTTAGTTACGAAATACCGCTAAAGAGTATCTACTATGTAACCCATAGTTGGGGGAAAATGAATGGATTCATGCGTTTCCCGACGGTGTTTGCGCATAAGTGAATACTATGAACGCGACTGGAATTCGAACTCTGCTCTCTGATTTCTCAATCTGAGACTCTATTCATTACACCACCCGCACATCCCTTCCCGCTAGCTATGGGTTAAATAGCAGGATCTCTAGTCTTCGTTGGCAGCCACTCTTAGAGAAGGACAACTATAAATTTGAAACCATAGAGAAAATCATTTTACTATTTTTCCAGAGAAATCATAACAATTGGCAGATAATAAAAAAGGAATCGAAGACCCAGACTGCCTGATAGATACACCCAGGACCGGTGCAAAGGTCGCGTGGGCACCCTGCATCTATGACACCGCCCTCCAAATCTATGATACGCCCCCCCCCCACTACTGCATCTTAATTATCATAATGTTGTATTCATATAAAATACATATATTATTGTAACCTAATTATGTACAATAATGGAGCATAGACAATATAGGTGAACAATTCAACTAGGAAAATTAGACATGTCATAATAGATCTTTCCATCTTAAATAAATCAATGTTTTGAGGCAATTTTTAACATCAACTTGAGATTTTTCTTGTTAAAGAGTTGAAGAATTTTAACACATTCAAAATTATGGACAAAAAATAGTGAAAAACCGAAAAACATATTCACGGATTTGGACGAAAAAGAAAGGCCCTAGAATGGCGGCAAATCTACGGAAAGATTTCGTTCTTTAATAACCAGTTGTGCTTACTTTAATTTGTGACGTATAGGAAAAATAATAACGTTTAAGATAACGGGAGTCATAAAGCACTGCTCGGGGCCTTCAATCAGACTTATCACAGTTGTGTGTGTGGGGTGTGGTGGAGGTACCATGCGCCGGCCCTGGCTACAACTGCTGTTGTGAATAGTCAAATGAGTTCATTAATGCAAGAGATGACTAAATAAAATGAAGTAATAACAATTAAGTAAAAGTTATTATAACCATATATAGTAACACTGACAAAAACAAAAAACAAAAAAACAAACAAACAATATTCTTCCTTTTCTACTGAAAACTAACAACAGTAATATTTGTGGGTGAAACACGTGTTACTTATTCTTACTCCACCTACTTTCCTTAAGGCCAAACCAAAGAGAATTCCCTTTCGGCAATCGATCTTCTTCCCACCTCGGAGGCAATCGATCTTCCCACCTTGGAGGATATATATATATATATATATATATATATATATATATATATATAATCAATTTATAGTTGTCTTCGTCCTAGACAGTCGGCTATCTATCACTATTAGTTGAAAGCACTGCCACCATTGCTGCTGCTACTGCTACGACGGCGACTAATCAGCAGCAGCTATTTATGGGAGAGGTTAATTCAACTGTCACCACTTGTCTGGCTCTACACGACAACGTTTAAAGATCTTGAATTATGAACTAAAAAAAAGCCAGTCTCTTTGTCTGTCAGTGTTGACTGACTTGTGAAGTTGCTCTCACTTTGGAGATGTTCGGATCTTTTCGGGCCCAACGACACGAGTAACTTGAACTGAAATGTTACTCGAAATGTTCTAATTTTAGAAAGTGGCTATGTTGTTATAGAAAAGACGCTTTCAAAGAAAAGAAAAAGAAAAGAAAAAACACAACCAGTTATAGCTTCAAAAACTTGACTGACAATTATCGGGCTTGAGTAAAAATGTAAGCAATTTCCTCGACTTTCGATATTGTAACTACTGCTATACTCACAGGAAGCTTTTTTTTTTTTCTTAAAAAAAGAAGGAATTAAAATACAAACAGTAGTTTGAAAGAAACAATAATTTCATCGATACTTTAGTTCAGAAAGCCAGACATTAAAAAAAACAAAACAAAACAAAGCAAAAAAAACAAAACAATTCGGAAATCCAGACATTAAAAAAAACGAAACAAAACAAAGCAAAAAAACAAAACAAAGCAAAAAAGAAAAAAACAAAACAAAACAAAACAGTATTTTGTCTCTGTGAAGAAAGAAAAAAAAAGTAAAAACCAAAATCGTAATTACCAGAAAAATATTGACTTTCAAATCTATCAGACCAACAATGGCATTATTCGTCATTTAATACCCTCTTCCATGAAAGTATTCCTGTGATTTTTTTCACAGATCACTGCGGCACTCACTGCGTCTTCTTCACCTTTACCAACAAAAATAAAATAACTTTTAGCTTTACTAACTCTCAAAGAGTTTTTAAAGCGATTTCCAGTTTAAATTGCATTACAAATAAAGGGGAAAAAATGGTCAACTCGACAGCGTTCTTATTTTAAATTCTCGCGCCTTTATCTGTGGTGGTTTACCTTCTTAAGAAAAGAGAAAAATATCTTCGGCAAACTGTCATCAATATTCCGTCATCAAAGGTAAGAGTAGCAAAGTAAAATAAAATGAACTAAAAATAAAACTGTCAAGTGCTGAAAGATACGGGTTGAAAACTTGTTAAAAAGTTTTGTTTTGTTTTTTTATGAAAATTAATGGCAGTTTTTAAATCTATAGTCATCTGTGTTACATAAAAACAAGTAACGAAAAGAAATTCGTTTAATATTAAAAAGTTTAGCAACTTCAATTTGCTAAATGTTTTGTGAAGTAACACAAAAACAGTGACTTCCATAGCGGCTCCAACTTATGAACTCCAGCTACAAGGCTTCTATTGTAACTAATTTAGGGGATGTGATTTCACTTGTTGACTGTCTACGCAAATAATTAATGCTTTTTGTTAGTTTTTCACTCTATTTATCTATTATAAACGATTGTTTTATTTTATCGATTAATATATTGTGATCACTGCGGTTAAAAGCATTACTGATTATTCTCATTAAATTTTCATGAACTCATTCTTTTAATTTAATTTATTCGTTTCCAAATCTCAAAACAGTCACATGTGCCAGTGCATATATGCACACGCGTGAAGACAAACCCCTCCCAACCGACCCCGTAATATTTTCTCTTCTGCACGAGCGATCGCAAAACAAAGAAAAGCATGGACACTGTTTTAGACAGGCGTTCCCGTGGTTAATCGAGAACCAGGATTCGCAACTTCAGACAAATTGTACATCAACGTTTTAACCAGAGTGACGTTAAATACTTTTCATCTTTTTTTTTTTTTTTTTTTGGTCACTTCTTTAAATTTAACAGAATCGTGTCTGTCAACATGGATAACGTCTGAACATAGAAGTGTGGAACTTTTAAATGGAACGTTACTATCGGAATTATGTCGGAAAATCCATTCACTCACGCACAGTAGACATCGGCACACCTTTTCTGTCCCTTGGAAAGAATAAATGTTGACACACAAACATATCTGTCAGACTCTGTTTTACTTCAAAAGACTATTACACTAACAGCTCGAGGGAGTACTGGAGTTTGTACACACTCTTAGCAAGACATTCTTTGACATAATTTTAATGCGTATATACAATTATACACCGCAACACGCATACAGACGTGTCTATGAGTGTGTTACCATTAAGAGATTTGCCTTTTTTTTTTTTTTTTTCATTATTGAAACAACCCGGCATAGACGTGTAAATGTTTCTGACACCATGCAAAAATTTGATTTTAAATTGATTAAGAATTTAAACTTTTTTTTCGTCTTTTAAAAAAATTTCACCGTATAAAACGCGGATGATTTTTACTTTTTATTTTTTCACGGACTGTAACATGGATCAAAAAATACAATGTGGCCTCAGTCACACATAAGGTAATATATATACATATATATATATTGTGACGTTTGTAAACGAATTCCACTATTTGTAAAAAAAACCTCGACCTGTTTTAAATAGGATATTTAAGTATATCCTTAAAAAAACAAAAAAAAAAAAAGTAAAAACAGGATCAAGTCCGAAAAACAGGTGGAGTACAAAAAAAGCAGAGAAATGAACTTGGTCATATAAATGCAACGAATCATCAATGAAAGGCCTCTAATTGTTAACGTTTCTTCTTGAAATTGAAGAACAAAACAAAAAGGGAAAGGAAATTCGTGAGATATCTTTTTATTGGATACAGAAACCAAAGAATATATAACCAATTTCAAAATCCATTATACCATGTAATTATTATAAATTAATACAACATACACACGATGTAATGCAAATAACACACCTATACTAGTGAATACACACAATCACACATATAGGTACCTCATAGAAGATAATGCTTAGCGAGTTAGTCTAATTGTTTATTATTTGTGTAAGGAGTTCGATCCTCATTGGGTGCTACACGCTTTTGATTTTGTGTCAGTTTTGAACAGGAGTAGAAGTTTATCCCTTGTTTCCTGTTTAGGATTCGGTTTTCGGGTCCCTCTAATTTTTTTTCTACTCTTTCATTTCCGGTGGCGTCTTGGTGGCATTATCACCTTGCTCTGTAAACCTCTGCCTCGAGTGGCTCTTGTGCCTTGTACAAGTTAAACAGCATTGTAAAAAAAACTAAAGTAAGCTTAGTATATATATATATATAATTATTTATTTAAAAATAAATAATTATATTTATGCTCTACTTTTGTATCGAGCACTATTTTTTAAAAATAATAACAAAAATACTAAAGAACTTTGGATTATTTACGTAACGAGTTCTTTCCTATTTTCTATATATTTTTCACATATATATATGTGTGTGTAGGTAATTATAATATAATTCAAATATGCTATATTTATAGGGAAAGATTAATCAATATCGGAGATAGAGCGTTTGTAGATAGAAATAGTTTGGATACAGGTATCAACACTGCATGGTGACTGGGAGTTTCAAGTCTTAAGCGATTATAAGACCATGTGTATGTAATATATAAATACATATATTGCACACCTCACCATGAGGCAAGGAATAGCTCGCGGGCCTAGTAATACTCACTGTCGTGTAATTAGTTCGATCCTCACTGAGTGACTCGTATATATGTTCTTTTGTCAGATTAAGCCATGATTAGTAAAGTGGCATCCAGCTTGAGATGGTTTACGTGAGTTCGATTCTCACATATAAACCCTCAATTGTGACGTGAGTTTAAAAAATATTGTATTCCCGTTCGTTTCTGGTACAGGATAAACTCACAAGCACACTCCGGTAGAGGACTCGCTTTCGGGTGACTTACTCATCCCTTTCAGCTAAACCACCCCCACGTTATTCAGGTTACTTCTATTTCCACTGTTCTTAAACAGTTTATCTTTGGTTCCATCTGCGGATCCCCATCTCGTGCCTACTTTGTGACACTGTCAGCTGTATTATGTAGGGTGTGTCCGCCTTGCTTCACCATTTAACTTTCTTAACATTGAGAGAGAAGTGGAGTTCAGTGAACATCTAAATATAACACGTATATAGATTATCATATGGAAAAAAGAAGAAATTATGCCTAATATATATAGACACACACCAAAAAAAAAAATATATATATGTATACACATAGTGAAAAGATAAATAAAAGTTCAAATGACATATCTTCCGACTTGAAATTTCTCATACAGGTAAAATAAATCTATTAAATTCATAAACTTATATCATTAACTATATATAATATAGATCAATATTGAGCCTTGAATGCGTTATGCACCAGTAATTTACTGGTCTACGTGTTTTGTTAAGCGTAAACAATCGTTACTAATATATATATATATATATATATATATATATATATATATATGTGCGTGTATATGTGTATATATATATTAAGTAGTACCTAAGTATTATAAGTACAGTTTTAATCATTAAAAGGATTTCACTACACATACGTCATGAATAACACATCGCTCGCCGAAATTTCCACACGTGACATTATTCATCACCCAAACGCAATCCATTTATTTATTATGATAACAGTGACTGTTCTTATACTTTTATCATCCATCTTCACGTTGGCTGTCATCTTCTATTCAGCTGGTTATAAATCCTTACAAGGCGTATTTATGATATGCATTGCCATGGCTAATCTTCTGGTCGGCATTCTTGTCACGCCTCTAGGCATCTACCTCTCTTTGCACCCAGAATTTTACCTATCAAAAAAACACAAGATCTGTGCCATTCCTGGCATGGTCCTCATCTGGAGTATTACCTTTGTACTATACTGCATCGGATACATGGCCCTGGAGAAGTTCTTCAAGATTAAGTTGTCCATTAACTATGTAACGCGGATAAGGTCCGCGTACGGTTGGATAATCGCCTGCTTCACAGCCGTCGGGTGCGGCATCGTGGCAGGTATCCCCATCTTCAGACAGAAAGGCTACATGTACACTAGCAAGAGCTTTCTGTGCGCTTTCAACTACAAGGAACTGTTCTACATTTCGACGCCAGCGATCGGCTTGAACTGCGCGGCACACCTGGCTCTCGGCTACTTGGTTCACAACATCAAAAAAACCCTGAACCAAACCTGCCCCTCCATGCCGCGTCGTCTCAATCGTGACGTAAAGGCCGCTCGCACCATCCTGATATCTCTTGGGATCTTCATCTGTTCGTACGTACCAGCAACTGTGTGCATAATTCTTCGCCAAAACCAAGTCGCCCCGATACCTGACCAAGTGTTCTTCGTCGTCTCGTGGTTGGCTATCTCGAACAATTTCTTCATTTCAATTCTCTACTACCACCACAACAGTGTTTTCAGACACAAAGCGCGCAAATTAATTCTCGGTGGCTTGACGCCATGCCAGGCTCTTTGTACGAACACAACGATGTTTGAGGGTCTGTGGACTGTTTCTGAGGTGAATGAACACCTTAGTCTTTAGAGAAGAATGTAAAAAAAAGCAATTCAAAATATTACTGCTTCAACAGAATCTACCAAACAAGAATAAGTATTATAACATTTATCATATTGCAAACAAACTTTGTTTCTAATATTAGCTGAGGTCGTAAAAAACAAACATGGAGGAATTTGAGAGATCAACTGCTAAGATCGTTGGTTACAAAAAGAAAGAAAAAATAATGTAGTCATGAAAATATTGAGAAAGCTAATCGCCTTTTGCTTATCTCATTTTTCCCGATTTTCATTACATCCTGTAGTAAAAACATTTACAATTCATTCCTATAGTAAAATCGTTTACAGTCCATTCCTAAAATCGTTTACAAAGCTTTCCTATAGTAAAATCGTTTACAATGCTTTCCTATAGTAAAATCATTTACAACACTTTTCCTTAGTAAAGTAATTTACAATACATTCCTATAGTAAAATGATTTACAATGCATTCTCATAGTAAACTCATTTTTTAAAGAAGTAATGGATTTTATTTATTAATCTGAGAGATTAATAATTAAAAATCCACCACTTCGTCATCATTATTTATGCGATATTGTCAGGAGATGTTATACAATTCTTTCTTTCTTTCTTTCTTTCACTGAAACCAAGTAGTGACTTTTATCCTCTTTCCACGCTATTAAAATGGAATAGTCCATTATTCACGAGGTATTTGCAGGGCGTAGCGGTCGATCGAACTAACGAAGTGGGCGGGGAAAGCATAATTATAATAGTATTATATGCGTTTCCATTCGAACACATAAGTTGATGTTGCTCCTTATAGTTGCAACAGAATGAGAATACTAGTTTTAATGGAAAGGCGTATAATTTAAATCGATGTGACTACCGTAATGGTGTATAAAGCAAAATGGATAAGATAGGTTCGCTTATTGTCCTGTTCACACTCCTCCATGGTCTTTTAAACATGAGTAGAGGTTTATCCCATATTTCCTGTTTGGGTTTTCGATTACTTCTAAAATCTACTTCAACTCTATACTTCTAACATCGCCTAAACTCTGAAATTTTATTTACTATTTATTTATTTTTCCTCAATAAGATTAGATTGGTTTACCTATCGTCCAGTTCCCACTCCTCCCCAGCTTTTTTTTTTTTATTAAAGTAGAGGTTTATTCCTTGTTTGCTGCTTAGGATTGGCTTTCTGATTCTTTCTAAAGCTTTCTCATTGTCTTTCATTTCTGGTGGCCTCCTTGCGTCATGGTGATATTATCTCCTTGCTTTGTGTGGTACCTCTTCTTCTATAACTCTCTACCTCAAGTACAGGGTAAACATCTTTGTAAAAAACAAAAAACAAACAAAACAAAAACAAAAAAAAAACACTCGAAATGGGGGCTAAGAAATTATAGGAAAAGATCACACTTATAAAAGACGAATTTACTTTTTAGAATTTGTAGCAGCTAAATTTGATATTTATCTAACATTTTTATCCGGTTCTTATCGTCTGAAAAGAAGAACTTATATAATCTACACTATGTGTCTGGAACGTGTAATTTAATATAATATTTAAAGCCGTTGTTTCGAACCTTTTTTAGCCTATGTACCACTTAAGCAACACTAAAATTCTGACGCCCCTCTACCCGTGACATATAATTCTATTATTATTATTATTATTATTATTATTATTATTATTATTATTATTATTCAAAAAGTGAATTCCTATTCACGTGGAGGAAGACTAAAAGGACAATAACTTAACTTTCCTTAAGAAATTGAGACTGCATATATGCAATAGTATTATCATTTAATTTTAGAATTTTATATATATATATATATATATATATATATATATATATATATATATATATATATATATATATATATATATATAAATCTCCAAATGTAAAAGAACGAAGAGTAAGATTTCAGTGTTCAAAACATTAATTTAAAAGCGAGCTCGATACAAAAGTAGAGCCGTATATACTTTTTCAGTTATTATGCAGTGTTACATTAGAACATGCACATACCCACTACAGAACTGTACATCTTGTTTTATATATATATATATATATATATATATATATATATATATAGGGCACCTCGAGGCGGTGTAATGGTCAGCAAGCTTGTGCCTTGTGCCGCATCTAAGCTACGCTTGGAAAATCACTATCTCTCTCTCTATATATATATATATTCGTAAAAACACATGTACATCACGATCACGAATCCTGTAACTCATCAATATCGTAGGGACACTACATATGCTGCAGTAGAAGTGGTGTGTCTTGGGCAAGATAGCATGACGGAACTGGTTTGAATTCAGAGTTTTCCTTCTAGACCGGTTGCCACCCAAAACTATAGAATCCAGTCTGTCCTGCTATTTACTCATAGCGAGGGCGTAGGAAGAGAAGAATGGGATTTTCTCAAGCGTATTAGCACGTGAGTGAGCGTAATAGATTCGACTGGAATTCGAACTCGGCTCTCCGATTCCGCAAACAGTGCCGCAATCCATGCCTCCATTACAAATATACATAGGTACACACAAGTATTTTTTATGTATGCATACTGTATATATTATGCCGTATACACATTCATACTTAGATTCACTAGAAAAAATATTTACTGTTAATAACTCATTCTCAAATTGTCCCCCCCCCTACTCTTCACTTAGAAATAAAGAATTTCTTCAACGCTTCTGTGCATGTGACCCACGTTGGGAACCATGGATTTAGAGCAAACAGAAGTCGATATTACTATTAAATTAAATCTGCGCGCGGCATATAAAATTCTGCCGGTTATAGGTCAGCGGTAGTCAGCCGCGATAAGACTTCGTTAACAGACCAACGGGTAGGCAGACCAAAATGCGTTTAATTTCTATGTGAATAGAAAAGAAAAAAAAAAAAAAAAAAAAGAGGACCTTTTCTGCCTTCCATCAGTATTGCTGATGCTAACCTCCAGAACAACTTTTTGCACCTTCTTGGGCTCACGTTTTCCACTGACCTGAAGCGGAATGATTATATTGGAGTGCACTATTAATCTTAACTTCACCCACCGCGACGCGAATAAGTCCGAACTTTTATTGTCGATAACTCCAAAACGGTAGACTTTATCAAAATTTCTTTGTTATTTTCAAATTAAGCGTGTACATTTACACCTAAATGGAACTATTCGGGAAATTTTTGCGATCTTTTTTTTTTCTCCTTATAAGTAAATTCTATAAATTTGGTTTGGTTTGGTTGATTTTACGTCATATCAACCTCAATGCGTTATTCAATGCCGACAAGTTTTTTATTGCTGGTAATATTTTTCCAAAAATGTACTACTGGTAATATTTATTTTCTTCAAAAATTTATTGCTGGTAATAATTTTTTCTCAAAAAAGTTATTGTTGGTATTAAATCCTATTTTTACACTTTCATAGAGTTTTGACCTCAGTTTGGGGGTTAACTATTTTGCCCATAGTTGGGACCCTAACAGGATTTAAACAAATACTACTTTTAGTTTAAAATATCTCAGAAAAGCATTTTTAACACGTAGGCGAGGAATGTTTTTTTACACATTAGATGATTTATTGACAGCCTTATGTTTGGGAAATTTAAATACGGGGGACATAATTGAAACACATTACCTGACGAATACAACGTAAACACCTTTTTTTTAATATAATTTTTATAACTACACAGTAATCATAAAAAATTAAGAAAATCTTTTAAGGAATCTAATGTTTTAATTTTAAGTACAGTGTAACCCGGATATAAGAGAAATCCGGATATAAGAGAGATTTTCCTCTGGTCCCAAATTAGAGCCTGTGTTAATGTATATAAAATAGACCAAACCCGGATATAAGAGAAACCCGGATATAAGAGACTTCTTCTCCGGCCCCGACAACTCTCTTATATCCGGGTTACACCTGTACTTTAGTTTTATAGACTTACTTAAGAAGACGCTTGTTGGGAAAATGTTAGAAAATTACGAATAGATCTTTAATTTATTATAGGTACATCTCTTATTTTCTGATAATGTCGTGTATAGACGTCCGTATTTTCAAAAAAAATGTACTCGTTTACACACGCGCACAAATTCAAAGTTCTTTTTCAAATACTGGAGGTCGTTCAATTGTAGTGAGATTTTCTATTCATGATTAGTAAATACAGTTTTAATTTAATAACTTTATTACTTGACCGCTACAAATTAGTACAGAATTCTAAAAGATTTCAAACTCTTTAAATTAATAATTAAAACAGAAAAAAGAAAATTATGCTTGTAAAAATTTGTTATTCATTGTTTCTTTCTTTTTAAAACCATAGTATCCGTAATCTATTTTATCCATTAAAAGTAATTCAAAGCTTTTCTAATTAAAAAATGTCTTAGATTTATTGCATTTTCTATTTTACAATGCAGGACCGATTTTCTGTAACTGGGATCCTGTTTGAACCCTCATAAACTGATGATTTCAATTCTCCGACGACTTGTCCTTAAAACAAATATAAACATTAACTTGCAAAAAAGAATTTCTTGAAATTTCGTAAAAATTAAAATGAATATAGAATAATATCCTATAGTAATTGTGCTTGTCCCTCCCTATGGTAGTTCTTTAGTTTGCACTACCATTACGCCTTGCCAATACCTAATAAATAATGAACTAAATACCTGACACCTCGATGCTATTCTCTACCTTTCCAAGAGCCAGATCAGGCCTAAAATGGAGCACTGTTGTGATATTTGCGCAAGATCCCCCACTTTCAAGTCTCGATAGAGTACAAAGGCGTCTACGCGTCGTTGTGGGTGATAAATTATTTTGCACTCTGCAACCCTTTTCTCACAGGCGGGGCGTGGAAAGCCTCTCTCTACTCTATCGCTACTTTAATGGAAAGTGCTCAGACGAAATGCGTTCCTTGGATCCGCCAGTTCTAAACTTCACGGCTAGGACCCGCCATGCCACTCACATTGCAGAAAACCACCCTCAGTCCCCCCATATTCCATTGGCGAGATGTAAGTTCCACTCGAGCAGTTTCTTCCCGCGAACCACTGCTCTGTGGAACCGACGCCCAAGAGGATGTTTTCCCGATCATTATAATCTTAATCTATTCAGTTCTAGGGTTGACCGTTATCTTTCTTACACGCATATCCGTATAAACTGTGCCTCTTACCCTGTAATCCTCTACCTCGAGTGGCCATCTGGCCTTGTACAGGGTGAACTTCACTGTAAAAAAAAAAAAAAATTCTAACGTACCCTTTTATTCCAACTTAGCTTTCTATTTCGGACAAGAGTAGGATTCGTTTGCGTTTGTTTGCATTCAGCGCCAAAACTTGGCTCGACTCGACCCACACTTAACCCACTGCTGGGTCAGCTTTTTTCTCATCGTTCCTACAAGTCAGACGTGCTTTTCTTGTTTGCTGATAATTTTTTTTTTGTTTTGTGTTAGCATTTACGTCGAAGACGACAATCTCCATGACAACGATGCGAATCACTTTATGACCTGTCTTTACCCACTTTATTTAACACCATTTATTACGATAAAAATAAAGAGTTATATCCCGAATGTGAATATTCATAAGGTCCACTGCAGAAAAAAAATGAATGTGTTTGAAATTATTATATAAGCACTGCAGTGTTACGCAGCGGTTATCACAGAGAAAATCGGATTCGTCGTGCCGAGTTCAAAATCCAGTCGATCCTGCTGCATTCACTTTCGCTTAAACACAATTAGGAAAGCGTCCTGGGTATGACGATAAACTACATCCGGCAGCAAGGTTTCTGATAGGGATGTTTTGAGGAGCGTGCAACCACCTCTTAATTGCTGTTGTCCCAGGTCCACCCTGATCCGTGGTGTTAGCACCTGTTAGGGTCCCAGCTAACTGGGGTCAAAACACTATTAAAGTATAAAAATAGATTTTTATAGTAAAAATACCAGCAATACATTAAAAAAATATTAGCAGCAATTCATTTGACTCTCGACAAAAAAACCCTTTACAAAAATTCGTCAATGAAACCTGATCCATATAAACAGATTTCTTACAAAGAATATATATTCTGTTCATACCAACCTATTCCAAAAAATTTCTCGGCATTAAATAATCCATTGAGGTGTTGATTTGCCGTCAAACAAAACAAAACAAAAACAATTGGGAAAGGCATGAATCTACCATTTCTTTCTCCAGCTATAGGTTAAAAAGTAAGGTAGACAGGACTTAAAGAGCAACCAATCTCTGAGAAAGAAAACTTTGAATACAAAACCGTGGAGAAGGTCACCGAAAACCACTCCACTATCATTTCCAAGAACTCATAGTAGTCCACAGAGTGTAAAGAAAAGGAAGCTGTGGAGCGCAATTATCGCTTGCGTCCTGAAGGGATATGACATTTACGAAACAAAATTGTCACCTA